TTGAAGTCATGTGTGGAGACCATGACGGCGGTCACAAACTTGTCGCACCGGCTGCAGAGTAGGACAAATGAGGTGCAACAGTTAAACGCCCAATTGGCTCTGCTCCAACGCATGTATAAGGATGCGCGAGCAGAGATAGTGTACTAAAGGCAGAAAATAAGGAGCTGAAGCGGAAGGCCACCGTGATGTTCCGATTTGGAGGTCCGCCATATGCTGCAGTGGAGGAGCAGGGAGTAGTGAACGTGCTCGGCGGCGTGGAAAACACGGAGGCAGCACCGTCAAGGGCCGCTCAAGACGGAGGCAAGAAGAAGAGACCGGCGGCAGAGTAGATAAGAAAAAATCCCGCCTGTGGATATGTTGTTTGTTTTTTTTTTTTTTTTTTTTTTTTTGTGTAAAATTGTGATCGGGGTTGATCCCTGAGATGAATAAAGCAAGTGTGTTTGGCAAACTCGAATGGTAGGTGTGGAAATGCAGAAAAATCAACTGGAATGAATTTTTTTTTTTTGGTGAAAAATAATAATAATAATAATAATAATATGGGTATCATGGAGTGGGCGGTGGTACAAAAATATTGTGTAGAAAAAAAGGGAGATGGTGAAAAAAGAGGCCACTCATGTTATTAAAATAAATTAAGGAATTAAAAAAAAAAGGGTATTGGTTGGCGAAATAAATATATATATATGAAAAAGGAAAAGGATGAGAGCATTGACGGAGGGACAGGCCCATGTGGCTGGCATGAAGTTGGGTCCATTGTGTTTTCATCATAAGAAGTGAGTGGGTGATAAAATAAAAGAAAAGAAAATAAAATAAAAAGAAAGTTGGGGTTTGTCACAAACAGTATACTTCTTGGCTCCACTCTGGTCTACATTCCCACATGAATATCCTCTGTTTACTCCAACACAGCATGGCTTCAATGGATTCTCAAACTCTGAAATCCCTGTGTGATTTTGGTGTAAATTCAAAGCAGACAAAAAAAGCTGTGTGTAGATCGATGATTTCTGTCCCTTCGCACAAGTCAATGGAGCAAGTAGATCTCGATGAAGCCAAACTAAACCTTGATGTTGAGAGCCAAACAAGACCTTGATATAGCCGAAGGTGTAGATCTCAACGGAGTCGGCGTAGATTTCGTGTGCTCTGATCTTGCGATCCAAGCCAAGACGAACTCGATCTGACCAGATCTGGAAGGACGGTGGGTGATGGGGGGAAGAAGTCGCGATGGTTTTCATTGTCAAAGAAGAATGCGTCATAAGAAAAATGGAGAAGCTTGCATCAACTTCTGGCAGTTTCTACCATGGTTATGACACTTGCTGTAATGGAGTGGCTTGGACACCCATAACCCTTAATTGAGCCACCAACAACACCTAGGGCAGCAAACTTTGGAAGAACATCAAATGGAAATTCTGCCTTCTCCCAGTACTTCGCCATTATTGGTGCTATTTCTTTTTCCATATACTCTCTTACTTTCATCATGATGGACTGTTCTTCAGGAGTCAATAGGTCATGAAACTGAAAATAGTCCGAAGTGCAAGGAGGAAAGATGGTACAAGAGGCCGAAAAGTACAAGGCTGAGGATGAGGACCACAAGAAGAAAGTTGAGGCCAAGAATGCATTGGAAAACTATGCCTACAACATGAGGAACACCATTAAGGATGAGAAGATCAGTTCCAAGCTTGGCCCAGATGACTAGAAGAAGATTGAAGCTGCCATTGAGCAGGCAATTCGGTGGTTGGATGCGAACCAGCTTGCTGAGTCGGACGAGTTTGAGGACAAGATGAAGGAGCTGGAAGGCATCTACAACCCCATCATTGCCAAGATGTACCAGGGTGCCAGTGGTGCTGCTATGGATGATGATAATGCTCCTCCTGCTGGTGGTAGTGGTGCTGGTCCCAAAATTGAGGAAGTTGACTAAGCTCTTCAGTTTGCGTGATGGCAGGTATGTGTAGAAAATAAGCGGAATAGGTTGAAGTCCGGCGGGCGGCTAAGGTGAGGTTGCCGCCCGCCGGGGAAGCGAAAATATTAGGTTCTAAACCTGCTCTGATACCATGTAGAAATTTAATGTATAAAGAGAAATGATTGTATTATTGATTGATGTATTTTTTGATGTATTGTATGTACATTATATAGGAGATGGAGATGTGAAGTGGAGGTGGAGTGGTGGAGTAGGTGAAGTGGAGTGTGTAGTGGAGTAGGTGAAGTGGAGGTGGAGTGGTGTAGTGGGTTAGGTTTAGTGGAGTAGGTTTAGGTGTACATTAACACAGGATGTGTCACTCGGTCTCTTGGTTAGAGCGTATGTTGTTGTTGGTGTTGGTGTTGCATAGTTGGGTTACGGGTACAGTTGGTTCCGATGTTTTGGTCTTCGTAGATTTTGTGGAGGATTTGATTAGTTAGTTTTGTTTCAGTCCCTATTTGGGTTGCATCTTTGTATTCTTTGCATCGTCTTGATGCTTTCTAATAAATTCTGATTATTTATCAAAAAAAACCCTTGAAAGTTTAACATAGAGAGAGAGAGAGAGAAATTCTCCTCACTGGCAGGGTTATACACTTCAAGAAACTGTCCATCCATTCATTATTTCATCAGTTCCTGAGTAAACTATCATGGATGACCATTGAGTCATTGACAACATCATGGACTAATCTTTTTATTTTTTCCTCTTTCTCTCTCCCTATTGCACACCGCTCTGGGGCCAGGGGGTGGTGGGGAGACGGATTATGTTTTTAAAATGTCAAGAAGAGACCTCCAATTAAAGAAGAAGACTAGAAAACTAACAATAGATCTGAAAAGGAGATAACTGAACAAATAACCAAGATACAGCTAAAAAACATATCATAAGTAATCATTGTTTTTATCTACCAAATTCAGCACAAACATGACAGCCAATCCAAAAACCTAGCTGCAAAAATTTAACTTCATAAATGTCAACTCATTTATGCTAGATGTTAACATCCCATGATAAAATAATAAAAATAATAATGGTTAATTTGATATGATTTCAAGCATGGGCAATGCTAATGGCAATTGAAAGCGAGTACAACAAAAATCAGGACAAGGAAAGTGTAGAAAAAGCTCATTGTTAAATTCCACAAGGGAGATGTTTTATACAGAACCAAATTCGAATTCAAACAACCAATCATTCTACTACAATGCCAAATTTTGGCTTCATGTTCCAGATGCTTTATATGAGTTATTTGAGTACCTCCACCTCTAATGTTATTTCACTTTCAGATGCATAGCATTTTCCATGCACACCACTTGCTTTAAGAAAGAACCACAGCGTTTATGTCAAGTTGTTAGTTAGAAGATTATGCACAGCATCATAATGTGCCGCATGTGCATATAATCCATTAAGGCTTCATTTTAGTGGTGTATTCTCTTCGACAATCTTTCTATCAATATTTCTAATTTTAAACTTAAAAAATTTGAAATTATGAGGAATGTTGCAGCTTGATCAACTACCCAAAAATAACAAAAGTTGGCTCAGAGTCCATGCTACCTGTAGATCGTAATGGGATATGTACCCCAAAACAAGACAACTAGAAACACTTCTTTAACAACTAAAAACAACTAGATAAATAACTTACAGCCAAAACCAGGAACGGGATCACTTCGATAATTATTAGTGTAGACTTTACTCCAATGGCGCTAAAAAATCCAACAGCTCCGAAGACAGAAAGCAGAACTATCACAATTCCCGAAAGCGCAAGTAACACCTGCAATTCAAGCCATTAAGCATGGAAATGCAGAAAAGTACAAAAAAGTTTTAACGTTGATCAGAAGTGTCAAATATATATTTCAAGAGCAAATGTCAAAAAAATAAAAGTTTCTATGACAATATATCCTCAGAGGTAACTAAATGGGAGTTCATAAAGTCAGGTGGATTTTAAATTATCATGGAGGCATCTGCCCAAATTCGAGTCCAACAGAAGTCAGGTAATTAATTTATCACTAGGAATGGCAAATGTAGGAATTCTGGCTGAGCTTGGTCTCATTGGTCATTCGCCTATTTGGTAATAACCTCTCGTCATAACAGTCTCTCCATGTGATTATTCACTTACGGATCGCAGCTTTGACTGCGTTGATGGACATATGCTCTCCTAGATTTTGCACATTAATTTCCTTATAATGTATGCTACTTGTTTTCTACATTAGGCAACACACCAAGGAGCTTGAGGACATCAATGGTGAGAGACCAACACAGTACTATATACCAAAGGATAAAAAACAAAAAATAAAAATATCAAATATTGAGTACTTAAATTGAAAATCAATCATTCAAGCAATACAAAACTTCACAAAAGCCTAAAAATTTTAGACCAACAAAATATGAAACAGCCTTCCTCGCAGGTTTTAGAACAACTAGATGTATACTCATTTTGGATTCTGACAATCAATTCTATTGAAGTCCTTCAGAAGACTCAGTTCGGAACAAAAAAACATAAAAGGGAACATCAAATGTATTTTACATGCTGAACTATAATGGTGAACTATGGAATGTCCTTACTCAGTAATTCTGACTCATAGTTGAAAACGACAAAATATAACCAAGTAACCAACAAGAATTCAGAAAGAATCATGCACAATGCTAGCAACTAAATACCTGAGTCATCAGAATACAAAGATATTCACAAATCAAAGGAGAAGAAATAAAATAATAATAATAATAATTGAAGTCACAAAACCCAAGTACTTTACCCATACAAATTCCATATCATCCCAAGTAACGGAATGTGCACTTTTGCGCCAAACAATGGAGTTAATTGTATAACTTGAGGGACTGCTTCCCTTTCAATCATAACAATACAGCTTATTGCACTTGCTAATTGGATTAACGATCTTTACTGAGGGTACTATTCCCCAAGCATTTTGGTTCCTGGCTTCTTTGAAAAGGTGCATCACCGCCTTTGACAATTTATCAATAGAGATACAAAAATAGAACTGGAAAAAAAAAATGAAAATGTTGTGCACGATTTGTCACTACTCCTTAAGTCATCATCATTTTGTGGGTACTCTATGAAGTGACCTTACATATGAGATATACTTCTCAGAGAGAGAGAGAGTAGTGACTGTTTTCACACGAGACCCTCTCCCCTTTTTATATAGAGCTTCCCTCATTGTAGAAAAATGATATTGAATTTGCAGTACTTTCATCTTTGGGGAAAACATCCATTCAATAGAGTTGATTTCCACCCTTGAGTTATGATTTGGAGAGATCCTCTCTAACATTTTTCAGCTTTCAGAGATGCACCATACGTCATTCCACTGCAGGCGTAAATCCATCCTAGCCACCTCATGAGCAGAACAAAGGACAACAAAGCCCTGCACCCTTGACAACAGCTTAAGCCACAGGTAAACCTTGTGGAGCTTAGACGAGGTCTGGTAGCCTCTTTCAGGCTCTGACACGCTGTTAACATTTGCGACATAATACCGGGTCTATTAGGCTTCCCAGATGGTTAAATTCAACTCCCTATAATTGGGGTCATTTACCTCACTTCATTGATCCACTCAACTCAGGCACTGCATAATGCCTAGTAATAGGCCACCAAATTTTTCCACAAGGTTTATTGAAATGGCAGCAATTAATAGAAACACAACCTTGATTGAGCTTTGTGCCCCCAAGGACAAATATTTTAATAAACTTCATTATCCAGGGACAAAGATATGAAAACTAGAATTATGTCTTGAATGCACATTATATCAGAGACCAGATAAACTCCTGACTAATTTCTAAAAACTGATGCACAGGTACTTTTACTGGGCCAAAGAAATTGTTAAATTCTTTGAGTATGAAGCCAAAAATGTCAGGAAAAAAGATAGAAATAATAGTGGTGAAACAACATCAGTAGGATGTGAAGGTCTAGTAAAGGAAAAACTGAACATTCTGACGCTCAAAGAGAGAAAAAAAAAAGTTATCCTCAGTAATGATTATACACACACACACACACACATATATTAATAGAGAGGGAAACCTAAAAAAACGTGAAGTTCTACCTTGGACGAAATGTAGAATGTAGACAAATGCGGTGCATCTCCCAAAGTCACTGATATATAAGCAAACATTACAAGATAGCTTATCTGATAAGAATTGGGAAAACAGAGTAAAGACAAATTGTCAGAAGCAAATTTGGGCCCTGAGTGCTTAATTATTGACAAGGATTTATTTAATTAGTTTCAAGTACAGGACACATGAAGAGGAACCAATCAACAGGTAATATATACACACCAATTTTTTCATGACTTACTAATATAGTTACAACATCAGCAGTACTTTCTCTCTTCAATTCTTCCTCAATTGAGCTCTCAGATGAAAATGACAGAGTGAGATTGCTGGACTGCACCATTGGAAGCAGCTCATCCTGTCATCATAGTTTGTTCATTAGCATGCACATCTAAGTATCTGAACAATTTCATAGTGACAGATTGAGCAAAACATCATACTGAGAGAGAGAGAGAGAGAGAGAGAGAGAGAGAGAGAGAGAGAGAACTATTATATTGTACAGAACACGACAAAGCGGACAAAGTATAATTGCAATAAATCAACATACTTATTACAGTGCAGAGCTAAATGGATGCAGGGTTGGGAATGAATTTTATTTTATTTTATTTTTTAAATAGCTATCTCAGTTACAGTTGTTCAAATCATCTTCACACAAGTGGGTTGGCTATTTCTGGATCTTGGATACAAAAAGCATAGGCAAAAAGCGTTGATTATGGCCCCTTTGTGCCTTGTGTGAATAATTTGAGATGAATGAAATAAGAGGACTTTTTGTGGAATGGAAGAACCTCTGCATAAAGAGTTCATTCATACCTATTTTGTACAGCTGGATTTCATGGCTCAGGTGTGTTGGGGAGTTGTGTGGATCTAAAGAGTAAACATATCTTTTGAGACCTTAGCATAGGTTTTGCTTCTTTTGTTTATAAATTTTACTTGATAAAAAAAATTAAAAAAAGAATCCTCAATATAATAACTGGAACATTTTTCGACTTCCTGAAGTATTTTTATAAGAAGAAGATATGGAGATGCATCATAATACATTGGCAGGTGTGTATTCAGCATTAAGATCAAAATGCAATAAAAAAATGTGCCAATTATACAGAAATGAAAACTTAGAAATATAAAATCTACAATATCTGAAGACAAGAAAGACAACAATTATTGACATGAAAGAAATGAACCACACAAGACCTTCACTAATTGTATGAAAGCCTTTTCCCAAGCCACTGCCATCCCATTTTCATTGCCCGTTTCATCAACTGCATTATTTACTGGGTAGGTTACAACAAATGCGGAAGCCTGAAAATTAACGATCATTATATGATTGCTGTATCGTCCAATAGCTAAAGAAAGGGATGGGACAAATGCACAATCCTCAAGAAACAACTATTGTGTGTGATCAGTATGTACTCATGTATACCTAAGCAAAGGAATGAACTATTACCTCAGAGTAATTGTTCCCTGAAAATCCCCCTAGCACAGTGCTTGGGTCAAGGGGGGCCTTAAATGCACTCATACATGTGTCTGAAGAAGTGTAATGCTGAAATTTGGGAAAGCCAGTTAATGAAAACTTAATGTATTGAACAATGGATAAATATTAGAGTAATGCAATGCAATTCAGTAAATCTCTAGATGGGAGTAGGAAAAAGAAAGGGTATGTTAATGTTAATTTATAATGGTTATAATTTATAAGAAAAATGTCTAGTTCAAATTAAATTAATGTTACTATGTTAGTGTTTGTTAATTTTGATTAAGGATGAATGTACATAACACATAAAAATATATTATAAATAAATAAAATCGCCGTGTTCGTGTCCCCATTTTTTGAAAATTACCGTGTCCCATGTCCATGTCCGTGTCCGTGTTTCATAGATGTCAACTCTTTAATTCATGAATATATGAATGGTATCTATATTGTCACACTTGGACTGTAACTTATGGCAACTGCATTTTATCAGTAAAATCCCCTATTATTGGTGGCAAATTCTAATAAATAGACCTACTTCAAATTTCTTGATAAAGGATGCCATGTCACTATAACTCCTATAAATGCATACACTGGATGCTGGAAAGTTAATAGAATAACTTAATAGAATCGCAGACATGAACATAGAAGAGATGGATTATTATGAGGGTGGAAAAAGAGAGAGAGTCTGCTCTCAAGAGCAATACATGACTTCTCCAGCCTCCATACAGCAACTAGTTGCCAGCTGTAGGTCATTCAAGAAAATAAACGTATTTTAGGTTCTTAATGGAGAACCATTAGACAGACAATACATCAAGAAGACTAGGAAATGGATGTTAAAGAGTTAAATGGATGCTAAAGGCACTTATGTAGTCCCCACGTATATAGGTTAATTAATACACACAGCTAACACAATTTTTTTGGTAGTCCCTGAAGATCAACGTATCCAAATCTTTTCCCATGCCTACTGTCTTTATTCTTAAGCTCTTTCCTAAAATCAACTCATTTAAGTCTCCTTCAGCTTACATCATTTGACAGACATTTTAAGCTAAATGACTTTAAACTCAGAAAGAATACTTTACATGCACATCATTTTATGATAATCTTAATACTTTGTTCTAAGAAAGGATAACATCCTTAGACCCCAGGCAACCAGAATGTAAAGCTTTAGTTGAGAAGGATATAAATGTACAAGGTATACACTGAGGGACAAACAAGAAATGTGAATACAAGAACAAATGAATACTCATAAGAGAGATAGCTCTTTGATTTTTTTTATTTATTTGATAACTAGTTAGCTCCCCGATTTTATTTTTTTTTTTGATAAGTGATTAGCTCTCTGATATTATCTTTTTCTATGTTTACTTATCTTCTTTTCCTTAATAATTTCAACACTAACCTTTTCTAGAAAGGGTCTAAGTAATTGTTAGAAGAATGATTTCAACCATGAATAATGCACATGCACGTAACTGATCAACTGCTTCATGAGCAGCCACAAATGTGAGCTATTTGAATGTAATATTTGAGCATCATTACTGAGGTGACAATCCTCTTAATATTAATTTAGAACTAATCAATGTATATAACTAGTTTTAAATTTCAATCAAGCTAATTAAATTCTCAAAACAAGATGGATGTCAAAATGCACACCTGAAAGCAATACACAGCATGTTCAACTCCCCCGTAATCATCAAAATTATCCGGATCCATTTTGAAATACTGTTACAAAAGTGATTCCATGTTAACATTTGAAAGATAGATATAATGTTAGCACTGCAGCAGAATCACCAGTTTCAAAAAAATTATAAAAAGTAAATAATCTCCAAGAGCCAAGCTCCTTCCCATTCAATGAAGCAGATGACGTTCAAACATCACCAACTCTACTTGATACATGATACAACAAACATAAAACATTCCCGATTCCGACATCAGGACTATATGCTCATTTAAGACAAGGCAACCCAACCTGTAAGACACTTTGAGTGGCACAATCTTCGTCAAGAGGCTTCAAGCAAATATCAGTCAGAGATACCAGAGCGCCAGAATAATTTGCACGTATTCCATCTACCTGTCAAAATGAGAAAATAAACAGATAGATAGCATTGCCCAATGCAAATAACACATATAAACGCCATTTAAATAGTAGCCAAGACTCAAAACCTTCTCTTGTATATCGAAGAGCAACTGCATATTATCCTCTGTTATAATACTATTTGATTTGCCATGCTCTGGATCTGGTGTGGTTGCTATTATGAGCTGAGAGAGAGAGAGAGAGAGAGAGAGAGAGAGAACATGACCCCATAAACTGTTTTTCTACAACGGTCCGACATGACCCCATAAACTGTTTTTCTACAACGGTCCGACATGACCCCATAAACTGTTTTTCTACAACGGTCCGACATGACCCCATAAACTGTTTTTCTACAACGGTCCGACATGACCCCATAAACTGTTTTTCTACAACGGTCCGACATGACCCCATAAACTGTTTTTCTACAACGGTCCGACATGACCCCATAAACTGTTTTTCTACAACGGTCCGACATGACCCCATAAACTGTTTTTCTACAACGGTCCGACATGACCCCATAAACTGTTTTTCTACAACGGTCCGACATGACCCCATAAACTGTTTTTCTACAACGGTCCGACATGACCCCATAAACTGTTTTTCTACAACGGTCCGACATGACCCCATAAACTGTTTTTCTACAACGGTCCGACATGACCCCATAAACTGTTTTTCTACAACGGTCCGACATGACCCCATAAACTGTTTTTCTACAACGGTCCGACATGACCCCATAAACTGTTTTTCTACAACGGTCCGACATGACCCCATAAACTGTTTTTCTACAACGGTCCGACATGACCCCATAAACTGTTTTTCTACAACGGTCCGACATGACCCCATAAACTGTTTTTCTACAACGGTCCGACATGACCCCATAAACTGTTTTTCTACAACGGTCCGACATGACCCCATAAACTGTTTTTCTACAACGGTCCGACATGACCCCATAAACTGTTTTTCTACAACGGTCCGACATGACCCCATAAACTGTTTTTCTACAACGGTCCGACATGACCCCATAAACTGTTTTTCTACAACGGTCCGACATGACCCCATAAACTGTTTTTCTACAACGGTCCGACATGACCCCATAAACTGTTTTTCTACAACGGTCCGACATGACCCCATAAACTGTTTTTCTACAACGGTCCGACATGACCCCATAAACTGTTTTTCTACAACGGTCCGACATGACCCCATAAACTGTTTTTCTACAACGGTCCGACATGACCCCATAAACTGTTTTTCTACAACGGTCCGACATGACCCCATAAACTGTTTTTCTACAACGGTCCGACATGACCCCATAAACTGTTTTTCTACAACGGTCCGACATGACCCCATAAACTGTTTTTCTACAACGGTCCGACATGACCCCATAAACTGTTTTTCTACAACGGTCCGACATGACCCCATAAACTGTTTTTCTACAACGGTCCGACATGACCCCATAAACTGTTTTTCTACAACGGTCCGACATGACCCCATAAACTGTTTTTCTACAACGGTCCGACATGACCCCATAAACTGTTTTTCTACAACGGTCCGACATGACCCCATAAACTGTTTTTCTACAACGGTCCGACATGACCCCATAAACTGTTTTTCTACAACGGTCCGACATGACCCCATAAACTGTTTTTCTACAACGGTCCGACATGACCCCATAAACTGTTTTTCTACAACGGTCCGACATGACCCCATAAACTGTTTTTCTACAACGGTCCGACATGACCCCATAAACTGTTTTTCTACAACGGTCCGACATGACCCCATAAACTGTTTTTCTACAACGGTCCGACATGACCCCATAAACTGTTTTTCTACAACGGTCCGACATGACCCCATAAACTGTTTTTCTACAACGGTCCGACATGACCCCATAAACTGTTTTTCTACAACGGTCCGACATGACCCCATAAACTGTTTTTCTACAACGGTCCGACATGACCCCATAAACTGTTTTTCTACAACGGTCCGACATGACCCCATAAACTGTTTTTCTACAACGGTCCGACATGACCCCATAAACTGTTTTTCTACAACGGTCCGACATGACCCCATAAACTGTTTTTCTACAACGGTCCGACATGACCCCATAAACTGTTTTTCTACAACGGTCCGACATGACCCCATAAACTGTTTTTCTACAACGGTCCGACATGACCCCATAAACTGTTTTTCTACAACGGTCCGACATGACCCCATAAACTGTTTTTCTACAACGGTCCGACATGACCCCATAAACTGTTTTTCTACAACGGTCCGACATGACCCCATAAACTGTTTTTCTACAACGGTCCGACATGACCCCATAAACTGTTTTTCTACAACGGTCCGACATGACCCCATAAACTGTTTTTCTACAACGGTCCGACATGACCCCATAAACTGTTTTTCTACAACGGTCCGACATGACCCCATAAACTGTTTTTCTACAACGGTCCGACATGACCCCATAAACTGTTTTTCTACAACGGTCCGACATGACCCCATAAACTGTTTTTCTACAACGGTCCGACATGACCCCATAAACTGTTTTTCTACAACGGTCCGACATGACCCCATAAACTGTTTTTCTACAACGGTCCGACATGACCCCATAAACTGTTTTTCTACAACGGTCCGACATGACCCCATAAACTGTTTTTCTACAACGGTCCGACATGACCCCATAAACTGTTTTTCTACAACGGTCCGACATGACCCCATAAACTGTTTTTCTACAACGGTCCGACATGACCCCATAAACTGTTTTTCTACAACGGTCCGACATGACCCCATAAACTGTTTTTCTACAACGGTCCGACATGACCCCATAAACTGTTTTTCTACAACGGTCCGACATGACCCCATAAACTGTTTTTCTACAACGGTCCGACATGACCCCATAAACTGTTTTTCTACAACGGTCCGACATGACCCCATAAACTGTCTTCTACCTCGGTCTGACACCACCATACAGTGCCCTCTACACCGTTATGACACCCCATACAGTGTCTTCACCAACGGTCTGACACGACCATACAGTGTCTCCTATCCTTTTTTATTTTTATGTATTTTCTTGTTTTGTTACTCTCTCCAAACTCAAGTTGGTTAGTTTCTCTCCTCCTTGAGTTTGCGGGGGGCTGTTAGAATTTCTCATCTTTACCTTCACCTACTCCACTACACACTCCACTTCACCTACCTCCACTTCACCACACACTCCACTTCACCTAACCCACTATCACCTCCACTACACCTACTACCACATTTTCTTCTATATATAGATTGTATAGGAATTGTAATTTATCAATCTTGTAACAATCAATACATCAATCAATAATACATCAGTTTATTTTTTACAATTAGCATGTCATTTGTTATCATAGCAAGTGCAGCAGAATGAAGAATTTCATGTTACTGTATGGTGCATACACCATCATTGTAAAAGAAGGAGAAAATTGTCTAAAGAAGAAGATTAGGTAGCCAGAAAATCAAGATCATATTTAATCTTTGAAGAGTAAAATGTTCAGAATGCAAGATTTCTCCTGGCCCAAGTGTCTAAGTAGATTTTTATCAACATAGCCAAAGTATTTAAGTTATGGATTGGTGAATGGCATTAAATTTGGAAGGCGGCTGCAACATCAAGACTACACCTTATGCACGGCTATTCAGTTAGCAAACCTTCACTTCCCCAAATTTACCATAATCCTGGAAACTGAATTCATGACAATTCATGGTTCTTTTTCGTCTAATGGTGAATGTATTACAAAGCTAAGGCATCTAACATTTCAACAAATACACACACGAAGCATTTCAATTCATATGCTTCTTTCAAGCTGATCCAGCAGCCCAGCCACCATTGCAATCCTGCACATTACAATAATACTCTTCGCAAATGATAACAATTAACAATTGAAACAGTTGTTCAAATTTCCCAGAATATTTTCAGCCTATTCAGATTGATTTTGTAGTTGTCTGTTACTATTCCTGACTAAGACATGCTTAGCTCCTAACAATTTCTATGGATTTTGAATAATCAGAAGACCACAGAAAAATAGACTGACCTAGTTTCAAACTCAAGTTTCTCTAGGCCTGGTCAACAATCTAGAGATACTTATTGCGTTTGGGTTTAGACAAGTGTAACCAGACCAAGGATCAGAATCTCATTTCAGTGTGTTGTTTAAGTTAGCTTGGCAACTGAAACATTTTGGAAACATAAGGGAAATGGAAAAACAATTTGGAAACACATGAAAATGTTTGGAAACAAAAAATAATGCCTAAATAAATGTTTATACATTCTCAATAATTAAATCATTGAACATATTGAGGTTTATAATCTCTTTGCATAAAAGGAACAAGTGTATAATCTGGAAGTAAGCTATACTTATCCCTCAATGCGAACCAAGAATAATTAAATTAATGTCAAACAAATTAATCTCATCAATAAAAAGTGCAAAGAATTCTAAATGTGCATACATATGGTTTGAGCCAATTTAGATTTTACAAAATTATTTTTTAAAAAAATTACAAATATTAAGAAAAAAAGGCCAAAAGTTTTCCATGGTGTGGGAAGTCCTTTGGGAAATTAAGGTTAAATGTTGCTTTTTTAAAATTTAAAATTAAAAAAAAAAATGATAATTTAACAAGACTATGCTTCAATACAGGTCCATGAATATTAAAAGCTTATAGAGAAAAGGTTTCAAGGGCTAATTGGGAAGGGAGGTTTTCCATCATAAGAGATAACAACAAAAATAAGTCAATAAATTAATTAATTAAGATTCTAGTAGTAGTTGAGATAAAAGAAAAATAAATAAAAACAAAGACAGATAGGCACACGCATCCCAAGTGTCCAAATTGAAAAATAATTAAAATGGTAATATAAATATGACACATTCGAGCATGTGTCCTTACGTGTTAGGGAGTGTTTGACGCCTGTTGGTGTTCGGCGCAAACACATCACCTTCTTAGAGGTGTATTTGCTTCTTGGATGATGAACATTATCAACTTATGGTACCAAGAAATGAGTTTGGGGGAGTGTGGAAAGAGCTGATTGTCCCTAGTCATCAATTTTAACTTGGACACCTATTCATCCACTTATAATGTGTAGCCAGCATCTTGCACCTAGACATCAATCGCACTTGGCCAAAACTATGGGTTGTTAAGGAGACTTGGCACACCACCCACAATTTGTTTTTGGAGTCACTAATGAATATACATAGTGATGATATCAATGATGATGATGATAACGGCACAAATTGCATCAATTGCTTCCCTTGGTCTGGCTTTTCAAAGTTCTTAAAGATGTTTCATCTCTACTTAGCTGATGATGGTCACAATGACAACAACAAAAAACAATAATATCACTGGAGTGGAGTGTCATAACAGACCAATTTTGGCAGAAATGAAAATTGAAAGATATGAGAAACCAACTAAACAAGAACCCTCCATTCAACCTCAATGAATTGAACAGGGCTTGTTCAATAAAATGAATGAAAAATAAACAATAAGGTATTAACAACCTCATTAACTGGAGTGTTATGCTCAAACATGATAATCATAGGAAACTGTTAAAAGAAGGTACATAAATAATGGAAAGGAAAGACAGATCTTTCCCAGCTAACACAAATGTTAACAAAACAAATTTTAGAACTGCACAAGATAAGAAACAAGAAAAAATAGCAGCAGTAAGCAAAATAATAACACCTGTTCAATTCTGTAAAAAGGAGCTAGGTGGCTGTCAAAAAAGTGTTTCTCTTCTGCTGCCTTACTCCCATGACCTACCCACAGCTGCAATATTGTCCATGACAAAAATGTGACCAAATTTCAGTATAACAGGCAATGTCATTTATACAATTATTTGTGTCCAAAGGCCTAGGTAAACATGACCATTTGGAGTCCTAATAACAAATTAGTTGGAATAAGCATGCAAGGAATGATTTATTTCACAAACTCTATACAATAGAAATACTATGATACCTTCTCAGGCCTTGTCTCCACCTGAAAACGGATTAGACCGAAACAAAGTATAAGAACAACTGCCAATGATGAGCACAGCACGAGTGTGGGATTCCTTGCAACCCATGTTCCGTATTTCCTGAACACAGTATCCAAAATCTCTCAACGTTTACAGCCAAATAAAAGAATACCAAAAAAATATGATAAATAATGGCATAGGTGTTGACCTGAAAAACCTTGACATGTAACCTTGAAGAACGGATAGTTGGACCTCACTTGTCATTTGAGGATCCATTTCATGCACCTTATAATTACCAAACAAAAAGAAAAGAAAGATGCATATGAGATCAGCAAATCTATAAAAAGATTAGTATAAAATGAAAATAGACAAGAACAGTACCTCAACTAAAATCACACAGCACATAAAGAGCATTGTACCTCTCTCTCACTCTCTCTGTTTGTGTGTGTGTGTGTGTGTGCGCGCGCGCTAGCATACATGCACATCAATTCAGAGATATTAGACCACGGAAATATAGTACATAAAAGCAAGCACCTTCATCTCATCCTTCTGCACATGAACATTATTCATTTCACCACCATCTGTATAACTCAACAATGGTTTCATGCTAGATGAAGATATTCTCCTTTCTCTCGTCCGATTAAACAAAGCCCATCCAAAAAGTGCAGAAACCAAAATAATGTACAGGATTCCCAATGAAAAATCAATGCATTTGACCTGCCAACATCAATCAACAGTCTTATGCCCAAGTTCATGAAATACATTTCATGACAAAATTCACACACTAATAAACAATTACTTTTACAATGCCCAGTCAGTCATTAACATATTGCAACCAAGACAAATTCATGAATCACTATAACATCCGACAAAAACGTGGAAAATCTGCTTCACAACTCAAACCTTAAGAGACCCTATTCTGATGGAGCATGGATCCTTTTTGGGGGGAGAAGGGGGTTCTAAATCTGAGCACACAGGAGAGGCAGGGCAATCCCCACAAGAGCATCCCAGCGAAGTGTCACCGCAAGAATAAATAGACACGTTCATGAGTTCCATTCCAGATGATTCAGGAATCCTTGACTGAAAGTTAATTGCATAAGGTGAACCAGGCAAACCAAAATCAGCTTGCTGACCAATAAATGCAAACCATTCTGGCCACAAAAAAAAAAATGACATGTTAGTATGGAGACAAGCATACACTTAAATATGGTTAGAATCATGCAATTCACACTTCAATTTATACGAGTTTCAACCAAAATGATTCGAATCCTGTTGTTGAATCTTAAATTCAATGAATCATACAATTCAATTTGTGTTTCACTATGATCCGCTATGATTCAATGCAATACATTTCAATTCAATTCTGATTTTGGTTTTGTTTGCATAATGCATGAAACAGCATCATTGTCACCTCACTATCAAGAAATAAAAAAATAGATCAATTAGTTATATTGATATTTATATCATTTTAAAGGAATGTGTGTTTTTTTATGTATATACATATATATAAATTATATAGGATTCGTTAAGAAGCTTAAAAGGATTGTATATTCTATATGAAAGTGAGTGCAATAAAAAATGTACAATCTTTTTAAGCTTGCATAACATGTATCCTAAGGGCACACGTCAACAAAACCCAATTATATATTTTATTTGTTAAGCCACCAATTGTCCCAAAAGCTTAAAGTTGTTAAGAAATAGACCCAACAATGTATATCAAGATACCCAACACCCTCCCTCACATGCAACCCTGTCTTACATTTGGAGATGCAAACAGAGAACCAAACAGAAAGAGAAGTAGACAACCAATCAAAAAGAGAAGCAGACAACAGAAACGGGACCAAATACTAAATGCCAACGGAGAAACTTGAACCCAAGACCTCTCAACTTGAGCTCTGATACCATGTAAAGTCACTCATTATCCCAAAAGCTTAAGTTGTTAAGAAATAGACCCAACAATGTATATCAAGCTATTCAACAATATAAAATAAAGTAAAGCTTATGATTCACGATACATTCATGATTTAATAACTATGCCAAGCAATTAAACATTTCACGTATTACAATTTACACAGTCTCGAGTAGAACTCAACCCCAAAAACTAGCTAAAGAGGTGAGGTTGCCCTCACGCTTATATGCTTAATAGGGATGGCAATTTGAAACCGACCCGACGGGGACCCGACCCCCCGACCCCGATTAGAACGGTTTTTTCCCGAAAAATACCCCCGACGGGCCAGGGATGGTATTTAAAAATAAATTCCCGACCATTTTCGGGCCGGGGACGGTGATATGATTTACAGCCCCGGACCCGACCCGGCCTGTCCCCGTCCTCGTCCCTGTACCCAATTCCCTGATATAAAATTACCATTGTACCCCTACCTATATATATACGTTTTCTCTCTTTCCTTTCTCATTTCAGGGTTAGATTAGAGTGAGACACTGAGTCTGAGTCTCAGACACATACATCGCATACGCACTCTCTTACCTTCGTCTACGTTGCTCGGTGGTCCGTGGCCTCATCTACTCCGTCGCTTGGTCGCTCCTCACCGTGGTTGCCTCCTCCTCACCGTCGTCACCTCCTCCTCCTCCTTCGATCGCCTTCTCCGTCGTCTCCTCCTTCCTCCTTCTCCGCCGTCTCCTCCTTCGGCAGATCTGAGCAGATCCCCGTCGCCTCCTCCTCCTCCTCCGTCACCTCATCTTCTGACAGATCTGTGAGCAGATACCCACTGTTTGATGTTGATGACGTTGATACATATATATATATAGTTGATTTTGATTCTGATTCTTAATTTTGTTGTTGATTTCGATTCTTGTTGATAGATAGTTGCTGATATAATCTGTTTGTTTGTTGTTGTTAATGTTGATGATGATGAGATGAAACAGATCGATCTTAATCTTTGTTTTTTTTTTTTTTTTGGCCAGGGAATTTTCGGGTTCGGGAAAACCCGATCCTTGTTAGGGGACGGGGGTAGGGATGGTGATAGGTTTCCCGTCGAGGATCGAGGCCGGGGACGGGGAGTGTGATCCCCCCAGCCCATTGCCATTCCTACTTGCCAAGGGTGGTAGCTATTCAATCTTCTTCTCTATCTCAAACCCAATCCACGCCGAAACCAAAAAGGGTGAAACTTTGGTACTCGGGCGATGCGAGACTTCGCTTCACACCCTCTCTCACGCCCAACGTGCTCACTTGACAGCACCTACGGCGTGCAGGCGAGGGACACACACCCTACCTATCCTTGAGTACTCCGGCTCTGATACCATGTTACATAGTCTCGGGTAGAACTCAACCCCAAAAGCTAACTTAAGAGGTAAGGGTGCCCTCACGCTTATATGCTTAATATTACTTTGGTACTCAGGCGATGTGGGACTTCGCTTCACACCATGTTGTACTTGAATGTAAACAACTAGCTACAGCCTACAAGTAACTAGCTCAAGCTGAATGGAACGAACAAGAAAGGAAAAAAACACACACACTAGAGCACCATAAGACCTTATTGCTTTTGCTGATAAGGATGCTGAGACTTATCTACAAATTTTCTCCACTCGTTATACATAGTATACTAGTATCCCGCCCAAGTGATTTAAAGTACAACATGGATTAAAAATTGGGATTATGATCAAAGTATAAGATTCTCTATCATACATTCTATCCTAGTGCTTATGCATCTAAAAAATTACATAAAAATTTGTTGTGGGGGTGAAATTTGGTGTTTTAAGAAAAAAGATATTTTCAAACTCAATTGGACCATCATTGAGAAAAGGAAAAAACCACTGTAACTGTTAAATTATGTCAACTACTGATTAATAGTGTTAAACCAACAAAACCGATACTTGTGATTGCATACGTATGTGGGAGTGAAAGGGGGCAGAGAGAGACAGAGAGCTGCAAACTGAAACCAGAAGTCACCTTTAAAATTCTGAGCACCTGCACCAACAAATTCTAATGCCCGTGTATTCATAGTCCCAAACTTCACATCTTTGCAGGAGTTATATAAACCTTCTCCAAAAGTATCAGTTACAAAAAAGTCAATGCCGTCGACAGTGAGGTTGCCTTTAACCTGAAAAGCAGAACATTAATGACAAATCCATTAAAAAGTGAAGAATAGGTAAACAGAAAGCAGTACACCCTTTCATCATGGATAAACAGGCTATATACATGAAAGTGTAATAACTTAAATCCAATATAACTTATTTGACAAGCACACCCACAAAGTTGTGAGATTAGGAGGCATGCGCACCATGTCATGTCATGAACAGTAAAACCTAAATTCAAACAGGAAATGCCACAGCTCCTTTGCCACTTAACTTAAATAAGGCAAGAATTTATACCAATGCACAAGGCCACCATGGAACAAGTGGTCGTGAATTATTTTATGACAGTAAAGTAAACCACATTGCATCATTAATTGAATTGTCAAATCGGAGTGATGGAAAATCATATCAAAAATGCATCCGTCCCCCACAAGGTAAGAACTAAATATTACACCTTGTTGCCATAAATCGTAATTTGTATGCCTGACCTTGGAAATGGAAGTCACATTGATGAATAGACTCTGATTTGGGGAGCAAGAAAGCTCACAGAAAAGATTTAAGAAGTTCCTTAAGCATGCTGGGCAGCCCACAAGGAAAGGAATTGCCTGCAACAAATTGAACTAATTCAGTAATATGCAAATGTCATCAGATGGAGAGATACTAGTAAGTCAAATAGAAGTCACATATGTAACATTCTCAGCTGAGCAGGACTCACGTGAGATCCTAATAGGGCACACATTTCTAGGAAGGAGGGGAAGAGAGAGAGTGAAAGAGTATGGCCCCATACCATGAATTAAAACTACACAGCTAAAAACCAAAATTGTCTCATTCAGAAATAATCAACCATTATAACACATTATAGCTGAAAATGGCATGACAGTCCACCAAAAGCAATTCCAGACAAAATGCAGCATCACGCAAATAAGAGGACCACACATTCCAAGCAAGACTGTCACATATACCACCTTGTCCCAGGCCATCCAAAGGAAAACATAACTGTTTTATATGGCATTAACTTGGTATCACATGTGCCAGAGTCACCTTCTACCAAAACCAATGCAGTCGTATGTAAACCTAGAGCAATAACTTTCAGGACCTATAGTCAAGAATAGTGAAATACTACTCTCATCAAGGGTATTTACCCCACTAGGCAACCATATGCTTCAACCTGCATTGAATTCCAGGCCTTTGGTTGAAGGAAAAAGTACATTGAAACTACACCAAGTTTTACCACAAAAAGATTTTATAGATTGAGCAAATGTGGATTTGTTTAAAATTTAATTCATGGAGTATGAATGGCAAGATTGTTTATAGCACCTTCCTCAATATGCACACATACGCCAGTCCCCTAAACAAATATAGTTGCCTCATCCTTAAAATTGGAACTTTAGTGAACTAGATAAACATGACATTTTAACTCCAGTACAATTTTAAGTTTATCCGATAGCTTACAAAGATATGGCACAAAAGAAAAGGACTCAAGAGTGTGGAATGAAGTTGTGGAAACATCACTAACATAGTGGGCTCAAAACATCCAAACACCAGTGTGTGAAAGATTTTTTATACAATAGTGATAACATTACGGGCAACTGCACTTGTGTTGTATTCCAGATATTCGGAAAGAAAAAGGGAGAAGAAATTATTGTGCTTGAAATGGTGGCTAATACAGAAAGAAAATGTTTTAGAAACATAGTTTGTTATACAAAATCACAACCAGAATAATGACACAGCCGTATTAATGATATTATGATATGTAGTGATGCGTATGTTATTTTGAAGCGAGTGTAGCAAAATGAGCTACATCATTCTATATGAAAATTCTATAAATTAATTTGTGTTTAATTTATTATTCACATAATAATTGATTCAAGCAGCAAAAGAATGTACTTACTTGTTGAACTTGTGCCCGCAACGTCTCGAATTGGGCCTCTGTACAACAAACATTTCCACTTATTGTTGGACACAGGCTTTGGATTCTCGCGGAAAACAATTCATCAGGCTGCAAAGTGTGTAAAAACAGCTTTCTTAAATGTAGATTTAGATGAAGAAATCTACATGGAGTAACCTGAGTGGTTTTCAGCTCCAGGACAAAATAAGAAAGTCTATAAGCTTGTCAAATCATTGTATGGTTTGAAGTAAGTTCCTAAACAATGGCATAAGAAATTTGACAACACTATGTTGTCAAATGGGTTCAAAATTAATAAGTGTAACAAATGCTTATATGTCAAAGACACTGACAGAGGTTATATCGTTTTGTGTCTATACGTTGATGGCATACTTATTGCTTGTAATAATGATGAGATGATTAGAATTACTAAGAGATTGTTAAACTCTAAGTTTGACATAAAATATATGGGCCTTGCAGATGTAATTCTGGGTGTTAAGATTACCAGAACATTTGATGGTATTATACTTTCTCAATCTTACTATGTTGAGAAGATACTTGAGAAATTTGGTAAATCAGACACAAGTGTATCTAGGACACCGGTAGACATGAGTTTACATTTGACCAAGAATAATAGTGAGAGTGTCTCTCAGCTAGCATATTCTCAAGTCATTGGAAGTTTGATGTATCTGATGAGTTGTACAAGGCCAGATATAGCCTATTCTGTTAGCTGGCTTAGTAGATACACAAGTAATCCAAATGTTACTCTTTGGTGGGACATTATGCGAGTGTTAGATTATCTACACTACACCTGGAGTTATGGGCTGCATTATACCAGATACCCAGTGGTACTAGAAGGGTATAGTGACGTTAATTGGATAACTAATATAAATGACTCCAAATCCACTAGTGGTTATGTGTTTACCCTCGAAAGGGCAACTGTGTCTTGGAAATCTTCCAAATAAACATGTATATCGAGATCAACGATGGAATCTAAGTTTATTGCTTTGGATAAAGCAACTGAAGAAGCTAAATAGCTTTGCTAGTTCGTTGAGGATATTCCACGTTAGTCAAGACCTGTGCCAGCCATCTGTATTCATTGTAATAGTCAATCGGTGATTGGACGGGCATAGAGTAATACGCATAATAGAAAGTTTAGACATATTCGTCGTAGACATAATTTCATACGACAACTACTCTCGAACAGAGTTGTCATTTTAAACTATGTAAAGTCTCAGAACAACATTGCGGATCCGCTAACCAAATGGTTAAATCGAGTGTTAATAGAGAAGTCATTAGAAGGAATGGGGTTAAGGCCTTTAGTATAAGGTGTTACCGAAATGGAAACCCAACTTAGTTGACTGGATATCCCAAGATCTAGGTTCAATGGGATAACATAAATACGTGTAATAGTGGTATGTCACTGAGGAGGTTAAATCTCCAGCCATTCCTTTTATCAGCGATACCTGCAAGTGTAGAGGTTAAGCTGAGCTTTTAATGACTCTAGTGTGTTAAGTTGTGGAGCTGAGTATAATAGGATGCTCAAGTAGAGTCACCCATATGAGTGTAAAGTGGGGTTGTTTCTATAAGCATTGACAAGACCTAATTCTTTAAACCATTCACAGAACTAGGTTAGTGTTCCAGGGCCAAACCGAACACAACAGTGATAACAGAACGATGGTTGAAGTAATTCTTATGTGAGGTCTGTTGTCTAGGTTTTATATAAATGGTAGAGCAGTTAAAAACTTCATGTTCATTGGACAGCTAGTAAATCCAATAGACTTCACTGAGAGGGGTTCAAAGTCAAAAGCTACATTTTCTGATGCCGAGGTTATTTCGTTGCACTCTCTCCTAGTCTTTATTGTTAAGCGTTGTCTGTTTGTTGTTATTCGGTCAATTTTTATTCATGTGGGGGATTGTTGGAAAAATAATGATTTTTTTGGTAACTTTAATGTAATATTAAAGTGGGTGTCAATCCTCGATTGAGGTAGAGTAAAGTGGATTTAGATTTTTTGTAGTGAGATCTTTACACTACAAAAAGAATGACAAAAAACTATTAACGCTAAAAGGTTTGTCCTATCAATTATATGTGTTGTCGCGCCGAGTAATTGGTCCCGAGAAGAGTGAAACTTGGGAGCTTAGAAATTATGCCCTAAAGTCTTATCAAAGTGTCACATTTTATTGGGTTATCCTACTCAAGGTTGTTTTAGTTTTCACCTATAAATTATTTATTTATTTATTTATGAAAATGTGTATAAAAAATAATAATAATAATCACTGAATTTAGTTACAATTTTTTAAAAATTAAAATTTATTTATTTATTTATTTTTAGTGAATATTTTAAAAAAATTTAAGCATTTTTTTTTTACTTTTTTAGATGCACCTTACTTAAATGTATCTAAAAAGTAAATTATTTGTAAACAAATATTTTAAAAAATTAATAAATATATAAGAATACGAAAAAATATATTGAATTTTTATTTTTTTATTATATATTTTTGGTATTTAATAAATTTTTTTAAAGATTTTTTTAACAAATATTATACTTTTTAATTATATTTATGTTAGGTGTATCTAAAAATTTTAAAAATTACTTAAAATATTAAAAAAAATCAACAAAAATAAAAAAAATACGAAAAATAAAATAAATTTAAAAACTCAAATCAAATAAGTTGATTCTGTGACTTAAATAAGTTAATAAATTAATAAATTAATTTTTTTAGTTCAATGTATCTTAAAGTTTCGTTCGATTTTAGATTTTTGGCTAGAAAAGCACAAAAAGGCAAAATTGGCTACATAAGTTAATGAGATAAAATGTCATATTCAAATTATAATAATTATATTTTTCCTCACAAAAGTAAAAAAAAAAAAAAAAAAAAACAACTAAGGCCTCATTTGGCAAATGTTTGTTTTAGCCTAGAAGCTAAAAATTATTAAAAAATCAAAAAGTCTATAATTTATACCAAAAAGTCAAAAAAAAAATTCTTTACTTTTGTACATTTTTTCATAAAAAATTAAAAAATCAATCCAAATATACTAATTTTTTTTATCTTATATTTTAACCAAAACGTTAAAAAAATTACTAAAATAAACATGTTTTCAAATGAGGTTTAAATAAGATTAAAAAACCAAACTTAAAAATATTTAATATAAGGCCAAGTTTGGGAACACCCCAAAAAGCCAAAAAGTCAAAAAGTTACTCAAAAAGTTAAAAAGTTATCACTATTCACCAAAATTCAACAATTACGGCTGCACAACTCCCAATTCTAATTTTCTCCTACAAATCAATTTTTACAATTTTTTATTACACATTTTTCCATAAAAAGTCAAAAAGTTAACCCAAATATTCATATTTTCAACCTCAACTTTTTAGTCTAAAAAGACAAAAAGTACACTTATTTAGTCTTCCCAAACTTGGCCTAAAAAATTAACTAAAAAAATCAATATCAAACGAAAATTAAAAAATGAATGATTCCGATTATAGTAATGATCCCAAAATAAGCCATGCGGCGCACAACAGCGCAGTAGCCACTCTCCAAAACATAATAATGATGTTTCCTGTTCTGACCGACTATGCACGCCTCCACGTGGCTTTTCTTTATTGCCCTTTTTATTTATTTTTTATATATTTTTTTGGCGCCAAAATATTGCAGTAGTACAGATTTTTTAGAGGGATGGGCATGAACCAGAGCTACTGTTAGACATTGTTGGCCCCACTGGTTTCATTATGATCATTTAAATAATTTATTTTATTTATTTATATGTATATATTATCTATAAAAAAAACAAAATTTGATTTGAATAGGAAATTAAGGGCTAGTTTGGCATGTACTAAATAAGCCAAAAAGTCAAAAAGTCACTATCTTATTTAAGTTACATCATCTTATTTAAATCACATCACCTCTCTAACACATCACATCAAACCCAACCCAAACCCAACCCAAACCCACCAATAATTCAAAAAGTGCACTTTTTTAGGACATTCCAAACCAACCCTAAATTTTTAATTTTATTTTTAAATTTTAAAATGATATTTCTTCCACTTTAAAATATTAGTCTCTTATTTTATTTGTTATTGTTTCAAAATATTAGTCTCTTTTCAAAAATTAAGAACTAAAATAATATAAATTTGTATTTTTTTTCTTCTTTTAAATTCACTAGTAGTTGGGCACATGCGTTGCATATGACATATAATTTTTTATCGACTGTTAGTACTGTAATTATACGTTAGTTTATGATATGTAAACAAAGTATGAATAAATTGATCTATACCTAAAATATAACTGAGAAATGAATACATACTCAACTGAAAAATTTAAATGATAAATGAGAAATTTTATAAATATAAATATTAATTTATAACTAAATTGTTGAGATCACAATCTTATCTTAAACAATAAAAAATAAATAAGTCCTTTAAATTTATAGTATTACACAAATCATTTTTTATCAACTTTTCACTTTAATTTTTCATAATTCATACATGTAATATAATTGAAAGCATGACATTAACTGCACAATTACACAATTTTGTTTAATTATTCATCTCATAATACAAATTTATTGAACTCACTATCGCATATCATTTGCATATTATTGGTGTAAGAATATATTAATATCAATATATAATTTATTTTAATACATCAAGAGTTGTTGAATTTCGTTTCTCGTGCCACAAATATCTTGAATGATAAAAAATATAATATTAGTCATTAATCTATTTTCATTTATGTAAAAAATATATAATAGTTTTTTTAAGAAAATCAAAAGATATTGTACTTTAATATTTCGATTGATATATGAATTTCATAATTGTTCTTATGATATTTATAGATTCATACGAGTGTTTGCATGGTCATTTTCATAAAACTGTCAAGTTACATAATTTATTATGTCATCTGTTATTAATCAGTATATGACAAAAATTGATTGAAACTTTTTATTTGATGTGCTTACTTTCTGCATCATTAAGTTGCTGGGATAATTTTTGGGTATCATTTGATTTTTTTTTCTTATAATTTGACTAAAATGCGTGCATGAGATATATTATTTTTTCTTGAACTTCACAACAAATAGAACAATTCATGTTTCGGCATATCTAACTTTGGTTCGAAAGCATGTTGCAATAGATCTTATGTAGTGTTTGTTTTACCATATTCTTGTTTTTCTTTTTACTCATCATTATAACTTGTTGTAATAAAATGTTTGGATGAATAAGAGTTTGAGATGATATCATATTGTTATGAATTTCAAAATCCATTTACCCTAAAAAATGTGAATTTTTTTTTGGTGAAGGAAAAAATGTACAATTATTGTCGTGATGGAAGTGTTCTGCAAAGTCTTGGTTTATTATTGAAAGTGTTCATTGTGAACACTTGTTTATATAATATGTATGCATACATGTATTAAACATAAGTTGATAGAAGAATAATACACAATTCCGCAGTTATTTTCTAACAAATATAATTATATTACTAAGCGATATATGTTATAAAAATTAAAATATCCGATCGTAATATAGATTACAGATTGACAATGAATGAATAAAGTAACATACATAAATTTACATTTGTATATATATATTTTTTATATATTTATATATATAGACACTGAAATATAGAAGATATCACAAAAGTAATATGTAAATTTTTTTTACAACAATATAATACAAATTTTAATGAGAATATAATTATTCATCATTAAATAGTTGGTTATAATATAAATGTTTTGTGTTACATTTTTGTGTTTTTTTTTTTGTGTATGCATACTATTTTTTAATTTGATTATTAAATTCACATAACAATTGAATATAATTTGCGAATAATTTGTGTAAAATTAGATATTAGTGAAGAAAGATTTAAAAAAAAGAGAAATTTACAATATTTGGTTTGATTTGTTTTTTCAAATTTTTGTTTTGATTTTTTTTGATTTTCATAATTTTTGTCTTTGACACTATTTTTTTTAATAACCCTTTTATTTTCTTTTTAGATTTACTTAATTTAATAATATTTTATTTTATTTTATTTTTAGATTTAGATTAATTTAATCTAAATATACTTAGAAAATAATTTGTTGTCTATTCTTTTTGGAATTTTTTTAAATAATAATAATAATAAATTAGTACATGTTCAAATTTATAAATATTTTTACTAATATTTTACT